CGAGCTGGAGGAGATGGAAACGCCGGTGGCTCCCCTTTCGTAGGACCTGGCGGACAGGATAGAAGGCATAGTTCTCCCACGGAGGGGCTAGTTAGTTGAATAGGTCGGGCGGTCGTTCTTGTAATAAGCGGACAAGTTCCGACCCTTGTGCTTTGTTTAAACAAACTTGTTATTCCATTTGAACAAATTTGTTCTTTCTTCCTTTTTGTGTGTAAAAAAGGGTTAGTGCGTTCTGACCCTTCCTGTTGTTAAGACCATAGAGCTAAAGGTGTGGGCGAGAAACTCTGATCACGCTGGTAAGCAAGAGTGCCGTAGCCTTTAGGGCGTAGGTTTCTTGCAGTCCGACCAGCCTTACTCAGTCGTTCGTTTCCGCAAACCTTGCCTCTAGGTTTTTAACATGAGGAAGGGGTTGGGCATGGTGACTATTTTAGAAAGGGTATATATATACCCTTATAAGCCCCTGAGTGAGGCCCGACCCCTTGCCATCGCCGGGGTTGGGTTTCACTAAAGATCGAGAGAGACGATAGCGAAACTAGTAGGAGAAAGCATCTTTTGTTTTAGAAACATTATCCTTAGTTTTTCGCACATATCCCCTCCCTAGGATCTAAGCCATCATTCTGTGACCGTGCATTCGGTCTCCTTGCGAGTCCAACTTTCCTCGAGCTTCCACGTGTAGCGGGGGTCCAGTCGAGGGTCGGCTCGTCTTTGCGTTCGTTACCCGTCCATGGTTTCTGCAACCAGAGGGGTTTAGCTAACGTCACTTGCCTCGATGGCTCGAGTGACGTGCTCGGTGAGCTCGCTAATGGGTATGTCCGAGTGGAATCCGAGTTCGTCGTTCGTGACGAGGTCGGCATAGCCCTCATGTGGCATTCCACTGCTCCTTTACCCGCCTCCCAGCAGATGCCCGAGTCGTTCTAGAGACCTACTCAGGTGGCCCATTGGTCTCCCCTCGATGGAGATTCTATGGGCATAGCTTGAGGTTAGGATTGAATGAGAAGGTTGAGACGATCCTGTCCACTTCTGAGCGGGTCGGGCCAGGCCACTGGGGCTCATCTGCGTTTTCTCCCCTGGCTCTGTTTGACACGAGGTGGCCTCGAGGCCTTTGTGGGCCGGCCTTCGAAACTCGGTCGGTCGGATTCCTGAGTTGGGGTTGGGCAGCTCGAGCCCCCGAGCCCCGTTGGGCTCGGTAGGGGTCGACCAAGTTTTATGCGTCACCCCGTTCGCGGTTTCCACAACCGAAGGGGCTGAGCTAACGACACTTGCCTCGAAGGCTCGAGTGTCGGGCTCAGTGAGCTCGCTAAAGGGCATGTCCAAGTGGAATCCGGGTCCATCGTTCGTGATGGGGTCGGCATAGCCCTCATGTGGCATTCCACTGCTCCTTAACCCGCCTCCCAGTGGATGCTCGAGTCATTCTGGAGACCGACTTAGGTGGCCCGTTGGCCTCCCCTCGATGAAGATTCTATGGGCATGGCTCGATGGAGAACATGAATAGCCATTTGAGGCTTGGTGTGGATGTCGAGACACGCAAAAAGGCCCCTACCTGGCGCGCCAACTATTAGTGTTTCGAGTTACCACCGACAAGTAAATTTCTAGTTTGCGCGTCTGGCTCGGATGGTGTGCTTAGAGGACACGAGGTTTATACTGGTTCGGGTAGAAAGTTCCTATGTCCAGTTCGTCGCTGCTGCTTATGTTACCAGCACTGAAATTTTGTAGTAGGGGTTACAAACGAGCGAGAGAGGGAAATGATCCCAAGTCTCTGATGAAAGGAGTGAGTGGGTGCTGAGAGCTCGATCGCTGCTCGGCTGTGCGTTCGTGTCGTGCTCTTGTGCAGATCTGTATTGGATCTTGATGGGTCGATCGGTTCGGGATCCCCTACCTAGCGCGCCAACTGTCAGTGTTTCGAGTTACCACCGACGAGTAAATTTCTAGTATTGCGCATCTAGCTCGGATGATGTGCTTAGAGGACATGAGGTTTATACTGGTTCGGGCAGAAAGTCCCTACGTCCAGTTCATCGCTGCTACTCGTGTTACTAGCTATCGGTGTAGAAAGTTACCAACACGTAAATATTTGTAGTTTTGCCGTACGTTGTGATCGGATATGGCCTAGCACTCAATGACACAGGGTTTATACTGGTTCAGGTAACGTGCCCTACGTCCAGTTTGAGTCGGTTAGTGACTTTATTTCTGAGCCCAGGTGCTCGAAGTTTGCCGTGGGGTTACAAATGAGAAGGAGAAAGATGGGGGTACAAGAGGTCCGGTCGGACTCTGGTCAGAGGGGCTGAGAGTAACGGGAGCACCGCTATGTGCTATGTGTTCAAGCGTGTGCTCGAGGTTTGAACACGATGGTTCTATTGTTGTGTACTAGTGAACTTGATCCATCTGAATCAACTGAGTCTTTTGGGAGAGAGCGCATCCCTTTTTATAGATGAAGGAGATGGCCTTACAAGTGAGAGGGAGAGAGTACGTATGCTGCTAAGTCTTGCTGCCCACGTCGGCGGGTATAAGATGATGGTAGGCGCCCACAATACTGTTTAATGTCAGATGCACGTGGGAGGTTGCGTCGTCTTCTTTAGGTATGGTAAATGTCGGTGCCTGCCACACTGTTGATACCCAAAGGCATGTAAGGGGTTTTACCATGTTCGCCTGGTACGGTAAATGCCGGCGCCCACAACACTGTCGCCGCCTCAGAGGCACGTGGGGGAGCCTTACCGTATTTGTCTGGTATGGGAGTTGATGGCATCAACAACACTGTAGGGGAAAATGTCGGCGCCTGGAGAAATGCTTGGGTTCTGTCATGTCAGGGAGGTCGCAGGGTACTGTCCTGCAGGTGTACAAGGTACGGTCCTCGGTATTGCGGTTGACTTGAGTGCGCTGCCTTACTTTCTCCGTCTGTTTCCTGGTCCTTACCGAGCGGGCGTCCCCGGTCGGTTGGTCCTAGTCGGCTCTGATTGCGCTAGTTAGAGAGGAGATGTAAGCAGGGGTTCGGCACATTACTGGTCGAAGAAGCGGGTCGGAAACGGAAATGGTGTTTGGCCAGGCCTTCCGGTCGGAGAGGCCGTCCGGAGGCGGGCTGGAGACCGAAGCGAGCGCTCCGGTCGGAGAGGTGGGCCGGAGTCGAAAGCGGGCGCCATTCCTCCTCGGCCAGGCCTTCCGGTCGAAGACTGGATCTTCCTTCTGGCCTGTCGTCTAGGTATTTGGGCCGGCCCATGAGTTGCGCGTTGCTCGCAACGTTGTCTGTTGGGCCGAGCCTTTGTTGGGAAGCCGGTTCATGAGAGACCCCGGGTTTATGAACCCGACACTAGCACTAAAAGTTTGTATTAGAGGTTACAAACGAACGAGAGAGGGAAATGATCCCAAGTATCTGGTGAAAGGAGTGAGTGGGTGCTGAGAGCTCGATCGTTGCTCGGCTGTGCGTTCGTGTCGTGCTCTTGTGCGGATCTGTATCGGATCTTGATGGGTCGATCGGTTCGGGATCCCCTTCATGGGGCCGCCCTGCTTTCCCTTTTATAGGCCAAGGGAAAGCGCGGGTTATAGCGAAGAAAAAGGGGAAGAACGAGAGAGGGGAAGGCCTCCAGGATCGCCGGGTCCTTCTTCTCCTTCATGCGGGTCCCGCCGACCCCGTAGATATCAACAGGGATGGCTCCACGTCGCGGTCTCGTCACTGGCGCCATGCGCAGGCGTTATCCGTCGGTCATGGCGCTCCACTCCGTCCTGGCGGACGTCGTGGTGAATTGACGCTTTGTCAGTGTTCGTACGAGGGTTAGGCAGAACAGCACCGGTACATCCAACACTGTTCTTGATGTGAATCCTCAGGTATGGCCCGTCATGGCCGCGGGTTACATCAAGGCGTGCGGGTCTCTTCCTTGGTGTCAGAGTTTTGACCCAGGCCCATACGCTTGGACCTGGAGTGGTTGGCGGCGGTATGGGTCCCCGTCGGGTGAGACGAAGCCCGCACCCAAGGGGTCTGGCGAGGCGGAGCCCGCGGTCTTGGGGTCAGGAGAGGCGGAGCACAAACCCAAGGGTCGGGCGAGGCGGAGATCGCGGCCTCGGGGTCGGGCGAGGCGGAGCCCATCTTCCTTGGTGTCAGAGTTTTGACACATGCCCATACGCTTGGATCTGGAGTGGTTGGCGGCGGTATGGGTCCCTATCGGGTGAGAAGGAGCCCGAACCCAAGGGGTCTGGCGAGGCGGGGCCCGCGGTCTTGGGGTCAGGCGAGGCGGAACACAAACCCAAAGGTCGGGCGAGGCGGAGATCGCGGCCTCGGGGTCGGGCGAGGCGGAGCCCGCGCACCTGAGGGTCGGTTGGAGCTGTAGGCGCGCTCTTGACTGCTCGGTTGAATCAATGTTGATGACCATTAGCTCCTCCAGTTCGGGTACCGTAGTATTGGTCCCCGACAAAGAAATATGAATAAAAGCTACAGATAAGCCCAAGAACTTTAAGCTCAATATGCGGATAGCTGTGTTTTCTAAATTCTCTAGGATTATTTTTGCCTACAGAATCACTGGTTATTGACTGTCTAGCTAGCTGGCTGGGCATGCTTGATTTGGGCTGTGTGGTCTGGTCATCTGGCAAACGACTTGTACAGCGCAGGAGCAACGGGATTCAATGGAGCATGACCGTATGATTGGTCGGTGCCGGGCCGGCGGCGAGCTTTAAACGACGGTGATCGCGCGGCAGCGCAGCAGTTGAATAGCGTGTCGTGCATGCACACCGGGCCTGCAGGCTAAATTTGTTGGCGCGATGGCCACGTTTGTCTGTCTGTCTGCCTGTCTCCAAGAGACCAAGACATTGGCTTGCACGCAAGTGCCATTCCAAATTTTGAATTCGCCTTTTATTTCATCATGTCCATTATATCCAAACAAATTTGAAAAGAATGGTGGAACAGTAACAAAACGAGGGGATGTACATTATCCCCGTAAAAAGTTCTGGCGTGAAATAAGGTAAAAAAAGAATTGTGTGCAAGTGCAAGTAATCAACATGTGGCATGCGCGACTTGCTTGTCAGTAGGGCCTCATCCCCACGTAGTTGCCGGGCGGGCTGTAGCTGCACACGGCGAACGTGAAGCGTGCCCCGGCGCAGGGCGCCATCGCGCACCCGACGGCCGTGGTGCGGCGCCACACGACCTGGGTGTAGTGCCCGCACGCGCCGCCGCCGCCGCGGCAGGAGTTGGAGGCGGGGTCGTAGATCGCGCGCTCCTGGACCCAGGCGCCCACCACGGCCGCGGGGGTCCACCCGGCGCCGCCGCTCCCGCGGAAGAGGTTCTCCCCGTAGTCGTCGCGCCCGTGCGAGTGCTCCAGCTTGCAGTCGCCGGCCCGCGCCGCCGCGTACCAACGCGCGTACGCCGCCAGGCGTTCGTCCCACCGCAGCGCGGGCACCCCCACCGCGCGCCGCGCCGCGTTGTGCGGCTCCAGGAAGCTCGACGCCAGGCTCGTCGTCTTGGCGTCGGCGGGCGCGGTCGCGCTGGCCAGAACGACGACGACGGCGAGAAGGAGCGCCACGGCGGTGACCGTGCCCGCCAAGGGGAAGCGGCGACGAGGCATATTGGTAGTTGGTAGCTGATCGATCAGATCGATCAGGTGCTTTTCCTGGGTTTTTTACGTGTCGCTGTGCGAGGTATTTATACGAGCTTTTGCGTAGGAGAGTTTCTTGTTCGGGTGACGAACGAAGATGCGACCGGAGAGTAGTGCTGCTCATGTTCCATGATGGCTGGCAAAAAAAAAAAAACTAGGGGAGGGAGAGGAGGTCCACGCGGTACGTCAAGTATGTGCGTCCATGTTCATAAAAAAAATGTAATAGTTTTTTTAAAGCAACAAATGTGAGTTTGTGACGTGCAATACTTGGTTGGCGCCATCTCGGTAGCTGGATTCGATTTCAGGGATGGCTGGGGTAGTGGCAACAACGTCCTCACCTGATTATCTTTTAGAGTGTCAACGCCTATTTTTTTTCAGTCATTCCAATTGAAGACCCAGATCATATCTAGCTTTATGCTACCAAAAGTTTAGTTTCAGGTGTTATGAACATCAGTAAGGGCCCATTCGGTTGAGGTCATTCCTGGCCGGAACGTATCCCGGTGATGCATGGCCATATCCGTTCCAGGCCTTGAATACCTTAAAACCGAACGTGCCCTAAATGGTAATACCGATTCTCACTTCAGAATTAACAACCACGTACTGTATGAAGTTCAAAAACTTCACAATCAATACTTTTAACTAAATAAACAAATCCATTACAAATCTATTGGAAACGGGAACCGGGACCAATAAACAGTGATTTCCAACACAAATTAGAAGTGCCAAATACAAAGTTCGTTGGAGCTTGTACCAATTTTGTCGTTTGAAGTTCTTTTTATGCGTGGAGGAAATAGAACCATATATTCCTACCGGACGGCAAAGCTAAGCTCTCCATCATTTTCAAGTTTCAATGGAAAAACAACCTGCCGTGAAAACGATCTCATCACCAGTAAAAGACCAATCAAATATCCTATACTGCCAGTACGGGCCACAAAAAGACCATGAAAACCATCAGCCCATGGGTCATGGGCCCATTAGTGACTCGTACTCCAACTATTTCTTCCACAGAACAAGTGATATGGCCAATCATTCCAATGCGCTAAGCCTACTTGTGTAAGGGCCAGGTAGGGCTTCAATTTTTTTTCTAATACATTTTTCATTCGAAATTATATTATATCCTAGATCTGCTCAATTACAGAAACAACATAATGCCATTTACTGGGAAAAAGAACTTTGAAATTTCATTTTCTGGGCAAGCGAAATTATCCAAAGATTGTTTAAACCCTATCTGGTACTGCTCTACCTGCCACTCCACTAAGCTCAGCCAACCAAACTGGGTAGGGGGCGTTCGCTCCGTTTCGCTCTGTCCGTTATTCCCGCTCGCTGGAGCCGGGACTCTCTGTGGGAGAATTTTTTTGGCTTGGCTCGGCTTCTTTGTCCACACACGCAGGCTGTCTAGCCGAACTACCCCCTCCTCCGTACGAGCGGGTCGTGGGGGCAGACAGAGGTGGACTGAGGGCTTCCCTCCAAGTTCCTCAGTCGCCATATCAGCACCCCATATCCAGATCACAGTGACTACATGGTCTCGCAGACCACCAGTAGCGCCTGCAGAAGCGTTGTATGCCCCGTCTAACAAAAGTTGAACATCACTTGAAATCCACGATTGTGGAGAAGAAAGACGCCAATACTTGCTTGGGACCACAACAAGTTATGAATAAATAAAGATGAGATGGGAAAGAACTGTGAAAAAGATTCATCACCAAGTTGTATGCCCGTGTTGGAAGACGAGTGCCTCGGACTCGGCCTCATCTACGTGTACCATAATTTTTGGTTGAGGGTAACAAGGCTGTTAGCCTGCGTTGCTGGTGCCCTGAGTCTAGGCGGTTATTGGCCATACACGCTATACTGCCATCTACTTTTGTGTACCACCAGTATGGGCCACAAATAGACCACAAAAACCATTTGCCCTTTGGGCCATGGCCCATCGGTGATTCCTAATCCGGTCATTGTTCCACGGGGAAATTGATATATGGCCAATAATCAATTCCAAATATGAAGCCGACTTGTGTAAGGCCAAGGTAGGGCTTGAATATTTAAAATCTTATAATACATTTTTCATCCAAAGTTATAAAAATTATACCTTGGATCTGCTCCGTTACAGAAATAACATAATGTCATTTACTAGAAAAATAACACCGAAAATTCATTTTATGGGTGGATGAAATTACCTAAAAAATGTTTGTTGGTAAAGCCATGTTTGGTACCGCTCCAGACGAGGTAGGGGGCGTTCTTCCGCTTCGCTCTACCTATGATTCATGTTCTTTGGAGCTGGAAGCCTTTGTGAAAGCTAAAAAAAGTGGCTTCATCCGACTTGTTTATCCAGGTGCGTGGGTTGTCCTTGAACTGTTCCTCCTTGTTGCGGGCGAGGTGCGGGGCAGACAGAATCGTAGCGCGCTCGGCACTGCCACGGTGGATGAGGATCAAGGATCTGGGGCGAATGCGGCACACGATATCTTATGGTTCTTGGCCATACGCACTATACCAGTGTTTACTGACCATTTATATACACTCAGGGGTGGATCCTGTTAAGTGCTTTGGATCATCTAGGTGTAGATTAGTGGGTGGATTCATCTCTATTTGGTTCAAATTGATCAAGTACATGACCTAGGAGAGAGAGATAGACTCGGAGAGGGAGACAGAGTAGAGACCCATACCTTCGAGCTTGGCAGAGGAGGTGGAGGGGAAGAAATCACTACCGCAGCGGTTACGTAGTGCGTGGCGGTGTAGTCCAGGTGCCGGCGACGCGGTCGACGGTGCTTCCCGTCACTTGCAGCGCTGCCCACGATCGGAGGGGCCTTCTACAGTTACTTAGGTGGGTCAGTGGTGATGGTAAACCTCGTCCCTTGTGCCCTGGCCCCCACCTTTCTCTTTATATAGCGCTGTGTGACAGGGGCCCGCCGACCTGTAGTCGGTTAAGCGTCCTCGATCAGGACGCGGTCAAGGGGTCCGATTGGTCATTGGGCCAATTGGTGAAGATCAAACTAACATTCTCCCCTTGATCTCACCTTATGACTTAAACTTAAGTTACTTACTTTATCTTGTTCTCATTCCATCACAGATTAGTGCATAGAGTGTGCCTCATCGTTACGGTCAGTTGCCATTAGATTTAAGAGCTACAATGCACCTCTCTATTTTGAAACAGATACTCAACTAGGCCCTTAGTATCCAGAAATCATAGGCTTTTCCATAAATCCATGTCGACTATGTGTTCTTTGAACGCACTGGGTGGTTAGCCTTTGGTAAGCGGATCCGCAAGTACTTACTCGGTACTTATGTGCTCAATGCTTTCAGAATGATTCTGGATTTTCTCCTTTACAACATATAACTTAGTGTCAATGTGTCTGGTAGCACACTTGACCTATTGTCTTAGGACTTAACTTACTTTAAATGGTTATTGCTGTTGTCTACCATTGTTAAATCCGGGTACAAATTTCCTTTACCTCCTTTTGCGTGTTGCTTAAGCCTCATGTCAAGCTATACTATAGTATGCATCACTGATGACACCACAACTGTTTCTTTGGAGTTTTTCACAATAATACTCCAATTGCGAGTGTTACCAACTACTGTTGATTTCACTACACATCTCGTCATGACTTAATATTTGTACCCTCAACTATTTGAGAGTACTTATTCTTTCTTACTTAGCATGAGGCCTATGATACTTTGCAAAATTGCAAGACATTCTCAACTCTATTCCAGTGATCTATATCTGAACTAAACTTCCATCAAATATCCCGGATACATAAACTATGTCAGGGTAAGTTCTTACTTGTACTTGTACACACATCAAGCTTCCAACAGCTGAAGCATATGGAACCATATTCATTTGATCAATCTCATATCGGTTTCTGGAACACTTAAAGTTCTCAAATCTATAACATTGACTATAGGAGCAGGCGTAGATTTACTCACATGCATACTTTACTTCTTTAGAATCTTTTCTAAGTATGTCTTTGTGATAGTCCTAATACCTCATTTTTATATCTCGGTGAATTTCGATTCCTAGAACCAATGACGCTTCACCAAGATCATTTACATTGAAACTTGAGAACAAAACTTCTTCTTCTCTAATGACAGATTAACATCACTACTAATGAGTAGAATGTCATCTATTCACAGGATGTGGAAAATGAATTTTCCATTCTTGATCCTCGCATAAACACTATTGTCCTTCTCATTTTCTTTAAAACCCAAACTTTCTTATTGTTTCATCAATTTCAAATACTACTGTCTAGAGACTTACTTTTAACCCATAAATGGATTTCTATAGACGGCATCACATATATTCTTTTTCTTTCATGACAAAACCTTTGGGTTGTGCCATGTAAATATTTTCATACAAATCCCCATTGAGGAATGCCGTCTTTACATCCATCTAATGTAACTCTAAATCGTAACGTGCCATTAACACCATTATGATTCTAAAAGAATCCTTACATAAGACTGGAGAGAAAACTCTCATTGTAATCTATTCATTCTCTTTGCGTAAAGCATATTGCCACAAGTCATGCTTTATATCTTTCTACATTCCGTTTGGAGTCACATTTTGTCTTGTAGACCCATTAACAACCTAATATTTTGGTTCCATTAGAAATTACTTCTAAGTCCCAAACATCATTGGTATTCATCGAATTTATTTCAACTTCATATCTTTCTATATTCCCTTTAGAGTCACATTTTGTCTTGTAGACCCATTAACAGCCTACTGTTATGGCTCCATTAAAAATTACTTCTAAGTCCCAAATATCATTGGTATTCATCGAATTCATTTTAACTTTCATAGCTTCTTGCCATTTAAACGAGTAAACACTTCTCATGGCTTCTTCAAATGAGGTGGGATCACCCTTCATTTGATTTTCTTTACTAACATAGACTTCATAGTCATCAGAAAACTAGTTTACTAATTCTTTAAGACCTTCTAGGGCCTCAGCTACTGACACTTTCATATGGGGCTGTTGTTGCTCTTCATT